CTCCTGAACCTGGCGTGAGCCAGGACTGAACAAACATGGTTCAGTCTGGGCTTGCACCACTTGGGGACAACTGCAGCACTGCATTTTAAATGTAGTAAGAGCCACCCAGCTTACCCCTGCTGAGGATCTGTAGTTTAAATGTAGTAGGAACTGGGCCCTTAAACACATATGTGCAGGAGGTCAATTAGACAATTAGACAGCTGAGTCACTGAGGTTATGTATGGTTGATTTACATTTAGGCTCAATAGATTAGCTTTTGATGGGACCAAAACAACACTGATTTCAAGAGGTTTACTAATATAAATTTTCTTAAAAAACTACACCAAAGATAACAAGCAGGGGCTCATTAAAATAGGAAGATTTGTTTTGCTAATCTGTCTGTGTTAGTTATGATTTTGCACCGTCTACTATATATTTGTGAGAGTTTGTCTGTGAGTGAGTGAGTGAGTCTGTCTGTCTGTCCAGTTGTTCAAAATCTCCTCCTAAATGGTGAGAGCAAGGACCATAAAAAAATTGGTATGCAGCTTCCTCTTATCAAAACTTAAAGCAAGATTGCTTGTGCCAGGACAATAGGATGTGCCTGGAATGCTGATATTTTTCATAATATGCAAAAGAACGTGGCTGCTAGCAGGGACAGTTATACTGTATAATGGCCAAAGGGGGGGCAGCAAGGGACCAGAGATGGGGAACAGGATTGCTGTAACTCCATTGGGTGCAACAGAGGTTTAGGGGTAGAGATAAGTTGCCCGCCCACCCCCTGGCCAGCATGCCCCATGCTGCAGCCAGCCCCAGGGAGTTGCCACCCAGCCAGCACAGCCCCCTGCTGGCTCTTGCACCCCCCATGTCTCCAGTACCCTGCCCTGAGCCCCTCCTCATCCCCACCCGACTCCTGCATCTCCAACCCCCTGCTCTGAGATCCTTCCTGAACCCTGACTCCTGCACCCCCCATGCACCACCAGACTCCTGCCCTTAAGGACCCAAGCAATGCTGAGTAAATCTTCTAGTATGTCTATATGTTGAATATGATGTGCATTCAATTTAGGCTTTGTTGTTTCAGAATTTGTTGGTGTGCATGTGTGCTTTTTCTTGTCATTTCAGTATCCTTTTTAATGTTCATGGTAAGGATGTTAAAGACTAGTCGACTATCCGATAAGCATTTGCTTATCCAATAATCTCTTGACTAGTAGACTATTCAATATTCCCCCCACCCCTTGCTGCCTCTATAATATAGAGGCAGCAAAGGGCGGGGTAAGGGGTACTTCAAAGCTAAGGGGTACTTCAAAGGGCGGGGTAAGGGGTACTTCCATGGATCAGCTGTGTGGCGGGATGCCCCTTTAAAAATGCTGCCTCCCCAGAACCCGGGATCAGCTGTGGACTCAGCTGACTCTGGGCTCCTAGCGGCATGCTGCGTAGCATGGAGCCCAGGGTCGGTGGGGGACTGAGTCCCCCGCTGACCCTGGGTTCCATGGCTTTGCAATGCACAAAAGCCCCCGCTGGGAACTCTTGTTCATTTCAAAGCAGGTACACCTAGTGCAACCTGGAGTCAGCAGGACTTCCTGCTGGCCCCGGGCTGTACATGGAGTTCCTTACTCCTCCTTTGAAATGTACAAGAGCCCCAGCTGGGGCTCTTGTACATTTCTAAGGAGGAATGTGGAGATGCCTATCGACTAGTCAATTGACCGCATTTTAACATTCTTAGTTCATGGAGATGATCTTTATGTAGTTTTTATTCAGGACACCATAACCATAACAACAATAGAGCATTTATATTAGTCTGCAACAGAAACTGATAGGATGTATCTAGCATAACATCCTGTGTAATGTAAAAATAAGTCAAAAGAACAAGGAGACTGGCCACATGAAAAAATATCAATTACAATGTAAAATAAACATTGCCACCAAAGGGATTAGCATATTTTAGCAGACACTCCATAAGAAAATGCATTTGGGTGACTTTCATGTTTGTGTGGAATACGTTACCAAAACCGAAACATTGATACAAGTGCAATCAATCACCTATACCTGCAGGGCCTTATTGTCCGATTATGGACAATTTCACAAGAGTAGAATAAAGATTTAGGTCAGGGCCAGGGTGTTAACTAGATATTATTGACAATGGCCTTGCACCTCAGGGAGTCAGAAGACTGGTTTTGCATCCATGTAGAGATAGATATACCCTATTTTATAATTTAAAATATTGATACTAGTTAAGCATGTTATGTTTCAAACACAGCAGTATTCTGTTTACAAAGTTTTGTGCTGTGCCAGAGCAAGCAAGGAAACACTGGAATCCCAGTCTTGAAAGAGTGGGTTTTATTGCGCAGCTAATAGACAACGTGTGGTAGTAGAGGAATGTGTCACAGTAATGCAGAGAGCTGTAATGATGTCAACTTGTTATTTACTTTCCAAAGCTGAATGACTGAGCAAGGCGAAAGGAGAATCAATCAACCACGATGTGACTCTACAGGCGGAAAAAACACAGCACTCTCACCAGTAAGAGGTTGGGGGAAGGGAAGCACATGTAAGCAGGGCAATGTTGCATCATTTACTTGCATTGGTTTTTGTATTGCTCCCTTCTTTTCTCGATTGAATGTAATATCTCAGTATCAAGCTGTACAAATCCAGAGAAAAAATAAGAAGGGCATGTTCAAGGCAAAAGAAACATCATTTTTGGGGGTGTTGAATTTCAACTGATACATAATAAAATCCATTCTGCTGATTCACAATTATGGAGACTGTGTAAGTCCATATTTTAATGTGCTCTAATAATGTTATGAAAACATTAGTTTTACCTCACTCATGTGTTATAGTAAGATATATAAGTATTTATTTTTGCTTATGTTCTCTTTTTTGATTGCTTAGTTCCCAGCTATTTTAAAATTTGAAAAACACCCATTGTCTTTTGATCAGATTGTTATATTTCAGATTACTGAGAATCAGGATCTTGCTGTCTGGCATATTACAGAGGGAAACACTTAAAAATTGGAATAGGTAGAAAAATAGAAGCTGGTTTTGGAGTTTGTTTCCAATTGGGTTAACACATGAATGGTTTGGTGTTCAACAACTAGACATTACTACCAGATCTATTTCTTTGGAGGATTGTGGAAATATACATTGGATTTATTTCAAATTGTCTTTTTAAAAACAGATTTTTGCAAATATTTTCAGATTTGAAATCCGAAGATACTTCCAGCAGTCCGAAACTTGCAAAATAATAATAGTGTACACTAATGCATAATGTAATATAATCAATGCAAACTAAACTGCCCCCAGACTTTAATGAAAATATAACATATCTATGTACACACAATCTCAGACAAGCTGTGTGTGCAGGGGGGAGAGCAATGTTCATGCATCTTTGAGATATATATATATATTTGCTTGAGTCCACAGGGTTAATATTTCGTTTTTCTACTAGATGGGGGAGGGTTTATTTAAAAAAACCAACAACCCTGGGTTTCAAATTAATGACGAAAATAAGCTTTAAGTGACAAACAAATTACCTTAGGTACTTAGAAGAAAAAACAAAGCATTTTTGGGTGGGAGTATTTTTGTTGTTTGAAGTTTTTTGGGGTGAAGAGTAGAAACTGATTTTGGAAGAAGGGAGAGGTATTGAAAGGGGATTTTTTCTATCTTCCCTAGTTCAGGTCAATGTGGCTGGTTCCCTCCCCCCCAGGTCACTGACTATCTCTGTGTGTCTTTCTTTCAGTCCTGCTGCTGCTTGTCCCTGGAAGCCTGACACACACTCACACCAAACACATTAACTCTGCTAATGAAGTAGTGAGCAGCAGCAGCACCTCCTGACCGCCATTCCGCACCAAAAACTTTCCATTTTCCTCTTCCCACTCTCTGGGACTTCCTTTTGATTTTGCTGGGTGGAGGAGGAGGAGGAGTGTGTGTGTGTGTGTGGTGGGATTTACAGTCTCCTTTAACGCTTGCTGGGACCTAGGAAAAGAAGAGTTACACCATGTACTGCAAGTGAAAAAGTCTCCCTGTGTGTGTTTCTTGCAGAAGTTGAGGCTTTTCTCTGCTGTTTCCAGAAGTGAAAGCTGTGCCTTTAATACACGTTGAGTGAGGTGAGTTTGGAGGACTGATTATTCATCATTTGGACCTTTTTGTGTGCGTCTCTGACATGCAATTTAGTGATTAAAACGGCTTGCCTTTGCCATATATTTCAGCGTATGCAATCAATTTCCTCGTGTTTCCTTCTTATTATTATTTGTTTCTTTTGTATCTGAGTCTATGAGATTTATGAGTGTGTTTCTTTTAGGATTTCCCACATTTTCTGTGTGTGTTTCTTTCAAGTGTGCCTTGAATTTGTGTGTGTATGTTTTACCCTAAAATCATTGGAACAGGCTAGAAAGTCTTGCATTGTTGAAAGGTTTATTATGAATGTTAATTCTGCTGGAGTTTCTAAACCCTGATTAATACAGGGAGTAGTAACAAAATGTGGCTTTAGAAATGTTCCTCTGAATGTGGGAAAGAAGACTTGGTTGTTTTTGTGTTGTAGGTGTATTTGTTTTTTGGTTATATGTGATTTGTGCAGGGGAAGGCTTAGTGAGTTTGGAGGAGAGTTTTTGAAATGATAACTTAGCCTTAACACACACAAATTTCCCTTAGTATTTCACTAACAAAATAAAATGTATGCCTACTGTAGTGTGTGGAGTTTGCACAACCCACGGTGGGGGAGGGGAATCCCATTCATCTAGTGTTCGAATCACCAAGCACAGGAGTTGATCACTCCTGTAAATCGAAGTTTAGCTCCAAGTAGGTAACTACGCTAATTTTTATTTCTATATGCAATGCTGTCATCTAACTTAAAAACAATCCTTTAACATAGTGATGGGCCAGTGCTGGCATTAGGGGAGAAATATTCAGTGTGACTTCTATTACAAGCCGAATACAGCAGGGTTTGCAAGAAAACAGAATTGCAGACCTGTTGCATGTATTTTGAGGCAAAAATAATACATGCTTGATCATGTATCATCAACACATTCAGACAAGAAAGACACTTCACTAAGTTAGTGTGCCTAGCATAGGTACTCAGCACTACAGGAGGCTAGTGGGCACCTTCCTCCCCACTATAATCCTTTTATTGATTCTGTTTCCTATTTTGTGTTGCTGTTGTGATCTCAGCACTTGGTTTATTTTGTTTTAAAAGGGTGTGAGGTCAAGTAGTATTGCAGTATGTCATGCTAATGACCCTTGGCCTATTTAATTACATGTTCAGTTCTCAAATAGGCATATTGCACACAAAACCACACCCTAAAGTTGGACTTAGAGTGAATACTATTTTCTCTTAAAGTCTGAATAAGGCCTCTGTATGTTGTCTTAGAAGATATTTCACCTTCGTGGCCAAAGATTTTGTATTATTGGTATGTTCCCCCCTCCCCATTACATACAATTCAGTTTTAAAGCAGAAGGGAGAGGGAAAAAGCAATCAGTTTCATAGGGCCACATGAAATGGAAAAAAAAAGTGTAAGAATTATTATACCAGAAGGCTCCTAATGTCACATCTTTCTTCCTTGACCCATTTGTTAGCTAAGACTGCTCACACAGCATACACAAGATTAAACGCAGTAAACCTTGCTTACTACATAACAGCACATGGTGGATTTAGGCCTCTTAGTTGGGCAAACTGTTTACCAAACTTGGAGATACCTCACAGTTTTCAAATTAAATAATTCCTTTTTGCTGTGATATCCAACAGGATTGGCGCAAGGGCAGCATTTCAGATTTCTTCATTTTCTTTTTTTTCTTAAACGACAGTTAACAATTGCAACATCACAAATACGGTCATATTCAAATGGGGAACCCTTCTCCTGAAGATATGGCAGTGGGGGTGGACAAATAAATAGACATTCTCTCACATATTAAAAATATATTAAGCCTTTCTTGGGCTATATGCAGCAATAGTAAAACTGGCAGAGATCTGAAATGAGCTACTGCATCTCATAATAAGTGTTTCAAAAAGCTAAAGAACAACCAGACCATTTTTAAGATTAAAAAGTTTGTGTTGGTACTAAAGAGGGTAAATAATTATACATGCATATAAACATTGGCAGCTGCACAATAGTCCAATTGCCCTTAGGAGAAGAAATCTTTGAAAACAAGTTGTCTTCTGTATCCAACCCCACTCCTCTCAGAGTAGGTTACTTATATATCCTACATTTATCATAATGATATTGGGATGTCTCCTTCTTTCTATTTGATTCTATGGATCATAAAACCCTTGGAAGCCTTTTATAAGGCTCGGTTTTTATACTCTTGAGTTTTGAGTATGGTGGAGAAGAACTTTTCTCAGAGCACTAAGGTGTCCTCTCTGACAATTTTTCCCGTTTTCTATTCTCCCACTTATTTATCAGTTTTTCCCCCATCTCTGGGATTACAGGGTCAGAACCGGACTGGTCCCTCAAAGCGGTATATCGTTAGACTGCAGCAGTTCTCAAAGGTTCACATCTCTGAATCTTAAAAATGCTGGATGAGGCATTATTTTGTATGAAATAATACTGTTCCTTAGTGGTCTAGACAGGACAATGTTGAGGTATATTAGAAAACTCAGCAGTATTCTGAGCTCCAGCTGTCTGAAGAGAGAGGCACCAGGCTGGGAAAATTGACCTTGAAATTTTGCATGGTAGTGCTTGGTCCCTGGGTCATCCCTCTTTTAATACTTTCTGTCATTTCCTACTGTTTTCAAATTGGGTGATAGAATTTACGCTCCAGCTGATTTGCTCTGAAGTAAGTTTGTTTGTTTGGCCCTCAACTGAACACATGCTAGGAGAATGTTTCCACCTTGAAGAGTTATAGACAAGCCAAAGGATGAATGGGGAAACAGATACACAGAGGCTACGTCTAGACTGGCCTGATTTTCCGGGAATGCTTTTAACGGAAAAGTTTTCCGTTAAAAGCATTTTCGGAACGGAGCGTCTAGATTGGCACGGACGCTTTTCCACTAAAGCACTTTTTGTGGAAAAGCGTCCATGCCAATCTAGATGCGCTTTTCCGCAAAAAAGCCCTGATCGCCATTTTCGTGATCAGGGCTTTTTTGCGGAAAACAAATCTGGGCTGTCTACACTGGCCCTTTTGCGCAAAAGGACTTTTGCCCGAACGGGAGCAGCATAGTATTTCCGCAAGAACACTGACAATCTTACATGAGATCGTCAGTGCTTTTGTGGAAATTCAAGTGGCCAGGGTAGACAGCTGGCAAGTTTTTCCGGAAAAGTGGCTGATTTTCTGGAAAAACTGGCCAGTCTAGACACAGTCAGAGAGAGGTAAAGTAACTTGCTTGAGGTTATAGAGGACAGCGGCAGAGCTGGAACAGAACTCTGCCAGAACTAATTCTCCAGTACTGTGTTCTGTCCATTGGAAACCATTGTCTCTATTTTTCTTTTCGCAGGATATTAAAACAGCCGTAGAGTGCCCCAGTTAATAAGTCCATTCACTCTGGAGAAGGAGTAGATTTGCCTATTCTTTGCTGTGCATTTTGCCTGCCTTCAGGTTTCATTATTTTTTATTATTTTAATTTGTAGTACTATTTTAAATTATGTGCTAGTTATACTCCAACCAGCCTTATAAAATCACAAATAATTTTTAACTCTCATGAGCAGGCATGGGCTATTTTTTTTTCATTACTTCCATCTTGCCTCGTGATGAAAATTATTTTGTAAACTGTTTTTCAGTTGCTAAATTAAACTTCAGTTCTCCCTCCCCCCACTCCTCAGACTATTTTTAGTTAGAAGAAATAGTTGACCTCTTTGCAGCAAGAACACAGAGCCCTTGGGTACCATTTATAGGTTTCTATCTAATGGCCTACTTGGACAAGTTTGTTGAAATTAAACAAAAACACTGAAACTACAGCCCTGCCTAGGAATAACAACCTCTTCTGAATATACATAATTTTAACTTGAGTAAATCTGAGAGAAATATTTGAAGGTGAAAATGTGGCTTTGGGTCATTCTTCTCCCCTTCAGTAGATGACTAAGCATTGTATAGGGTATTTGTGCACATCTGAAAGTTAATATTGTGGGATTTCATTTAAAATTGATTTATGTGATTTATATAATGTGTTAAGAATATGAGATGTCCCATTTGTACTGTACCTATGTGGAAGTAAGGATGTCTATTTTTATAAGGAAAGGATAATATTGCCCATCACTTTCTCTCATATCAAACAGAACATATCCTCACAGAGATTTGAAGTTGTACCTACTAAACATGGTAGTTACAGAGCTGCATGAAACCTGATTTTATAAGCTGTTTGTCTTACCTCTTTCAGATTCAGGTCTAAACTTACATGTAGGTTTGGAAGGATTCAGTTTTTGTTGGTAAATGTAGATTTCACTGTACACATTGAGATGCAAAAATATTTCAATGGACAATGATAGAAATTTACAAATAAGTGTTTTTACTTTTCCTGAGAACTTATTAGAGTTTAATATAAGGATATTTACCATGTTTGTTTTGACGTGTAATGTTGCCCGTTTGTGTGTTAATGGCTACGAAACCTCATCTTTTTTAATCTTAATGCCTGTCATTAAATAATTATTGTATGACTCCTCTGTGATTTATTACAGCTGTGGAAATTTAAATTGATAAACATCTAAAAATTAAAAACAAGAATTGATAGATCCATATACAGAACTATACATCTAAATTCTAACGATGCTAAGCCTACTTAGGTAAGAGAGGCCAAAGATCATTTTGTCCCTCATATTACTTTTCACTCATGTATCTGCTTTGTCCTTGGTTTCAGTGATGTCATAGCCTTAATAAATATTGCATTGCATCAGTATTTGGCTATGCCTCCATTTGCTGAAGACTGAGAAATATAAGTCTGTGGGTACCCAACCCAGTCGCCTTGTTCCGATTAATTATGTTGCCAAAATGACACAGGCTGGGTAAGAGATTTGGATGTAGGAGTATCTGATAGACTCGGATTATTTTCTGTTGACTTCGCACAGGTCTCAACAGAAGGGAGCATCAGAATGTCAGTATTGCAAGTTAAGGAGGTCAAGTAATGTGATTAAACAATCGATATTTGTCTGGTGTGTCCTATTTAAATTGAGACTGTGGTGTA